TAATCATATGATTAGACAGAATATAACATCATAATCTTTTCACTCGTGTCTATCAATTTTCAAAAATAGCTAGTCCGACTTCAGGCTCCAGGGGCGTCTAGTTGCTATATTAATTACATGACCTTTTAGGTCAAGTTTATTTTAGTCTCAAGAGAGTTTGGATATTTCTTGAACTAGACGCTCTTATTAGGCCGTGCGTTCGGCTATTATGGAGAAAAATTAAGAAATATATATTTTAATCTAATTTTTATATTTCAATATGTAATATCCTCCTGTTTTTCTCAAGTTTCATTTACATTCATAATATAATCATATGATTAGACAGAATATAACATCATAATCTTTTCACTCGTGTCTATCAATTTTCAAATAGCTAGTCCGACTTGACGCCCCAGGGGCGTCTAGTTTGAAATAGTGTGACACAATGTTATATTCCAAAACCTGCACAAAGTCCCACAACTGGCAATCTTTAACCACTGCTGACTTCTTTTTTTTATTTTTTTTTTCCTTTTTCATCTAATCTTATTAGCAGCTTATTTATTGAAGTTCAGTAACAAACTTTCAGTAGTTTTCATTAAAATCACGAAGAATGATTTTTTTCTGACCTTTTTTTCAGGAAAACATTAGAGATGATGTTGCCCGTCTGTCTTGTGCTCTTTGCCAGTCTTTTGTTACATGCTCATCAAAGCGCTGCGAAAGAGTACCACCTTGATTTTACAAGATATTGCCAGTTGTACAAGGATCTTAAAACTTTCGAGTTTAAAAATAGCGATTACTATCCAGCGCTTACCTCTGAAGTTCATTCACTGAAAGATCAGCTTAGAAAACAAGGCTATTCCTATTCTCGAGCCAACGAGCGCTGTCAAGATCCCGCCATGTATTTCAAAACAGAATGCTTGTTTTTGAAAAGAGAAAAATTCGCCCGAAGAAATGATTGGGGCTTGTTTTTTGGAAATGGAGAAAAAGCGGCTGCTCGGCCACTATACTTTGACATCTGGTTGCTTCACCCAGCTCTGAGAGATTGTCAGCGGATTATAGGACGACATCTACAACCCAATCAAGTGAAGAAACAACTTCTGCAAGCGTTTGTAGGTGCGCCTGGGAAAAAAATCCGTGAACTCGCTAACTTGTTCACTCATTTCTCTTGGTCACCAATACTCGTACAAGAAATAGATGAGTTATGCGGGAGAAAGGATTCCGATTCCATATTTTGTACAGATTTGCTTGAAATTATGCGATTGGCCAAGGCCTACTACACTGGCAGAATGGATCATGGTTCAGGGTTTAGATGGAAAGCCTTCAGACTGCATTTTGCAATGATTCAACAGAGCAACCCTCAGCTGTACAGCAGCGTCATATCTACAAAAGATTCAAGAGATCTTCTTAACGACAACCTGGACCAGATGTTTCTATTCATCAATGGCGACAATATCGAACAACTAAGAGAGATGGCGAAAACACTGCCCCAAAAAGCATCTCTTTTCAGTTGCGATAACCTATTGCTTCTCCCAAAAGATACAAAAAAGATCTGTATGTTCTGGAAAGCATTGTCTCAAGTCCGTACCTATTTCCAATCGTCACAGCCATTGAAAAATGGAATGATCAAGAAAATGCTTAACACTAAAATCGACTATCCGCAGTTTCTTGCCAGAACTGAGATGCGCGAAATCCTCTCTACAGTCCAAAACCAAAACACAGCTTTGGTAGAACTGTCTAAATGGGTGACCAGCGAAGTGAAAAAAGACGTCAAGAAACGATTTACTGGTCTCAAGACATACTTCCAAAAGATGTCCTCTTTTAATAAACAGAAGGCTTCAGCAGACATAAGTTTTATCAAAGGTCGATTGGATAAGTACAAAACCAAAACCACTTCATTGAGTAATGAATTATCCGATAAGCTGGGTAAGATTATATCATACGCCTTCACTGCAGTTGCCGTGGAGATCGCTGAGGACATTATCCAAGTTGGCCTTTCCGGTGCAGTTCTCATGAATCCACTCGAAAAGCTGTTTGGCGGGAACAGCCTCAATGATTTTATGGATCGTAGTGCAAAACTTGCAAATTCTTTAACAAATTTGCCACAGTTGGTGAGTGCATCCAGATCTTTTAAAGTAATCAGAACACGTACAAGTGACATAGCCACGAAGTTCGGTAAAAATGGAGTGTTCCTCGACAATCTCAACAAACTAATCAACGAAGCTGGCGACGAGGGTGCTTCTTCGCAGTTTGACACTAAAAAGGATAAATTCCTGGAGGACTACAAAAACTATGACCCCTTGGTGACACGACCAGAACTGGTAGAAATGACAACAGTCTATGGGAACTTGGTCGACAGTTGTTGTGACGTTATCCTGAATACAGAAACTACTGCCGCTGCTGTTGTTAAAGGCACTGTCAAATCCGAAGGACTTTGCTCAAAAACTAAAGCAGCTGCAGAAAGAATGTTTGCTACCTTTGCAGAGATATACGACTTTCAGTTCGATCTAATCGAGGAAATGGCGTCGTACATGAGAGCACTGAACGCACATTATGCTGCGAACGATTTGGATGCTGATTACGACAACCTTGCTCAACAAAGCACTGATACCATTGCAGAACTACAGTCTCTTACTAAATTTGCATATATATCTTACAAGATCAATCTTTGGACAATTTCAGAATCCTATTGTGATGTCCTTACCTACAAGGAAGGCGGGAAGACCCCAAGTGTTTGCAAAGAATCTCCAAAAGACATCGCAAGACTTGCATCCCATGTAAGCCCAACCTGTACAAACACCGAGGCGTACAAAAACGTCCCTATTGAGTCTACGAACAGCGATGAAGCCTTCATGAAACTTTCTGATTTGTATACCAAGAATCCTGTTTACTTTAAAGTACCTTCGTCTCAGTGGCTGGTGGATAACAAGTGGATTTCAGAGAATGACAAGGATTCAATTATCTTTCTCAAGAAGTTTGAGATTTTCCTGCCATTTGAAAGTTCAGTACCACGTTTGGTTACTGTTGATGCGGAAGTAATCGCGGATAACAAACTGTCAACATCAAGCAAAACCAGTTATATCATCGTTCCTAAGAACGAATTTGTATTCCATTATTACGAAGGCAGGAATAGCGAACAAGAATGCAGGCAAGCAAGTCAAGTCATGAACAATCCGTATGGTTCCCGTCTTTCCAAACTGTGCCGCTTGAATGTTGACGACAACAACTGTCAGGAGCTGTTAAAGAGGACACCTTTATTTCCCTCCGTGTACTCTCGTTGGAAACTCACCGTGTCTGGTTATGATTCTATTCCCTTGTCACCAACGCCTGCTAACGATGATTTCAAACTAAAAGTAGGAGTAAAGCTATGCATTCTGCGACCAAATAGTAATGACCAAAGTCACGATACCAGCAACGCCCAACGCAAACGAAAGAGCAGCAAATGGCAAATGCACGACCAAGAAAGGCCAAGCTGTCCTAAGCCCACTGACTATTGGTCAGACAAACAAGGCCATTGTGTTCAGTGTCCTAAGGGTTCAAAGCCTGGAATGGATGGTTATTTCTGTGTGAAGAAGCAAGAAAACCCACCATAGGAATACATGGAATCATCAATCATCAATATGATGTATTAAAAATGTACAAAACTTATGGTGCTATAATAAATTAAAATTGCTTCTGCTGTCGTTGTTTCTGTTTTAGTTCTGTACCTTCTGTAATTCACGGTCCCAGCTATTCTAAGATTTATAAAAACATTTTTGGTTAGGTTTTATAGAGACTAACAGAGTCTCAATGTCTGGGTTTAAATTGTCCTAGTTCGCATTCACGTCAATATTATATGGAATGCACTACCAGATTGCATTAAAAATTCTAATTTTCAGCAATTTAAATCCAAGATGAAAAGTAAAACTTTGAATGATTATTAGCTGTTTGCCAGAATTCTAAGTTTTCTCCAATTTAGTTATTCTTTTATATTGTATTAAAATTGTATCTAATATTTATATTTATCTATATCTTCCTCCAAAACATTTGTGTGTGTGTTTTATGTGTGTGCGTGTTATCTGTAACATATCTCTTTCCGTCGAATATAGCTCCGTCATCTTAACAATGTAAGATGTATAACTGTTTCCTGGTCCTAACCCATTTTTAGCTTCCAAGTTATTTGTTAGGGCCAGTACCTACTGTAATTTAATTTAGTCAGGATCACAATTGTAAACTTTTGTCAAAGGTACAAATAAAGAGTTGTTCACAATGGTTTGAAAGTACGGCAAAACTCAAGCAACAATGAACAAAAAAAGAAAATTGTTCAAATTCAAATTTAATAGGAAAAGGAGACAACGAACCTCCAAATTAAAGGAAGACCACCGATGACGCAACCATCTTTTTTGCATGCCTCAAAGCGTATTTCCGCTGCTTGCTTGCAGGCTCACCTCTTCGGCTTCACGTGTGCGCCATATTGGATTTTAGCCGGCGCAAAATCGTATAAAAATGTCTAAATTCTTCGCTGCCAGCTCTGAAAGTGAGAGTGAATCAAGCGAAGATGATCAACCAATTGTAGTTAAACAAGCTCCTGCCATTTCCAGGTAAGAATTTATTGGAAATGACAACATTTTGAATTCTCTTTTGTGGTCCTCGTGTTCTCCTGAGTGAAGTCTATGCAGTTTCTGACGTGTCTTTAGTATAAACAGTGAAATTTAGTTTCGGGAGATAATAATATTAAAATATCTTGTTTTTACAGGGCCTTTGTATTCAGTGACGATGAAGAAGAAACAAAGCGAGTTGTGAGAAGCCAGAAAGATAAGAGGTGTGTTCTTCCAGCATCAACTGACTTACAATCTGAACTGGTTTTTGTCAATTTATAAGCTAATACATTTGAATTTGGCGAAGTCATGTTCAACATATAAGTTAGAAAAGAGAGATGGTATAGTTTGCTCCTTTTATTCTCAGCTGATAACAGACTTTTCAAAATGATACATTTCAGGTTTGATGAACTCAAAAATGTTATCAAGCAACTCAAAAACTATAAAAAGATCAAAGATATGTCAAAAGTTTTTACAGGTTAGAGGTTTATTACTTGTTTTATACTGATCTTTGTTTATTGTGTATTTTTGATTTATGAATTCATTATCAGTAAGTTATAAAGTCTTGCCACACAGGATATGATTGTACAAACTGCATGTCATATTTAACTACATTATTTTTGTATCCTTAAAAAAAAACAACAGAATTTGAAAACCTTGGTAAAGCAGCCAATAAAGCTAAAGGAGTCATAGATAAAGAAGGAATTCCTCAGTTTTACATCAGATGCTTGGCTAACCTTGAAGACTTTGTCAAAGAGGTATAATGCAAGGCATTTTTAAGCTTTATCGCCATAGTACACTTACCATAGTTAAGTAATTAAAGTTAGTAAGAGAATCTGCTGTCAAATAAAACAGCGGTTATTCGCTTTGAATATGAAAATGGAGTATTTTACTTGTTACTGATTGTTGTGCAATTTTAGTTGTTACTAAATGTAGTAATTTGATGGGCATCACAGTTATTTAATACCAATTTACTATACTATATATACCATTATAGAAATAGTTGTCAAGCATTTTTATATCAACACTGATAATTAGTGATTTGTTTGTAGAACTGGGAAGATACAGAAGGAAGGAAGAAACTCAGCAAAGTCAATGCCAAAGCTTTGTCAACCCTGCGTCAAAAACTCAAGAAATTCAACAAAGACTATGAGGCAGACATTGACAAGTACAGAGAGGTAAATTTCTCATCAGAACATTGAAGTTAATAAAATATATAGCAAGACACTACAGTTGGTGTGCCATGATATAAGAATAGACAGTAAAGAAAGCAGTTTTAATAAAATCATGAAAGAAATCAAGCTGAATGCATACTCTTATTTTAATAAAGTAGATCGCAATGACTGTATTATTTTGGTTTAAATTTAGGTTTTAAATATTAATATCATACATTTATGATTAGAATCCTGTCTTGTCAGGGGAATCAGAAAGGGAAGATTCAGGTTAGTAATTCTTACTAATCCTATGTAAATAAATCACTTAGAATACTGTACATTTAATATCATGCATTCAACAATGCTATTGGTAGAATATCCATGCATCAAGTTGATATGAAATCTTTCAAGTTCTTGTTCTTGCTGTTTGTCTACATTGAAATTGTTTGTGTAAGTGTGACTCTAGAGAGTGCGTTGTATAAAACATGTAAGTATTTTTTACAAAACTAAACTGTATGTTGACTCCAGTATTAATGTAACAGTACTCAGAGCAATAATCATATAGTTTGATATATCAGTGTTTGTTTATTTGGTAGGATCTGACAGTGATTCAGATAAAGACTTTGAACGTCCTGCTAAATCTGAAACCAGTAAGATTCCTGACAAGAAAGCAGCCAAGGATGAGAGTGATTCTGACAGCATCGATTGGGACTCCACTGAATCATCTAGTGAAAGTGATTTAGATGAAAAGGGTGCACCAATGGAGTTGACTGCTAGCATGTTCTTGAAAAAGTAAGCAAACATTAATTATTATTTAGACATGTGTATAGTTAATGTTAGGTTGTTATATAGATAAGCCAATAAACATCAGGTTTTCTTTAAATGTTGAAAACTTGTTTTTTTAGTTTCATTTATAGATTTATATAATAAATATAAAATATCCTGGTTTCTTTAAGATACAAATTATATCTTAGTGTGTTCAATTAAGGAATCAATTGAACACTTGAAGAGAAAATTCTTATCTGCATGAGTACATGTACTGTTCTCTATGTTAACCTGAATGTTTTAGTGCTAATATTACAATGTTTTGATCAGAAATAAAGATACTACAGTAAAGAAAGAGAAAAAAGTAAAAAAGAAGAAAGACACTAAGATAATCAAGGAAAGAGAAGAAGAGGATAATGAGGGCTTCCAAGAAGTGCAAAGTCGTTCGGTAACTATTCAAAAGTTTTTGAAAGATAGCAAGAAATGTCATTTTTAGTGAGTGAAATTTTGCTTTTTTAGGACAAAACCAAGCATCTCTTCCCTAAAGATACTGAAATCACTCATCCTGTAGTCCTCAAGAAACTTCATGAAATTCTTGGTGCAAGAGGAAAGAAGGTGAACTGAAAGACTAAATTGAATGATTTGAATAATTTGAATTGACAAAACTTTGATGTTGTTTTGAAGGGTACTGACAGGACTGAACAGATTGGATTCTTAAAGGAGTTAAGAAGAATTTCTGATGGAGCAAATCTTGGTAATGATTTAATATTTATAACAATCATAATCTGTTTTGTAAATTGTACAGCAATATGCATCAGTGCTGATTTATAAAATAATTAATAATTTTCAGGTGAAACCATGACAGCCAAGTTGATGTTCAACATCATATCATCAATATTTGATTACAATCCAAATGTAGCAACTTGTATGAAAGCTGAAATGTGGATGGAGTAAGTAAACTATAATATACTGTTCCTTTGAATGACAAAAATGAATATTCAGATAGCAAACTAAGACTAACCTATGGGGTCAGTCTAACATAAAATGTGTTATTTCAGATGTTTGAAGCAGATTGGGGATCTTTTGTTTATCTTGGAGAACAACCCCAACATTGTAGTTGGAGAAAATATACTMGAAGAGAATGAAACATTTGATGTAAGAAATCTKGTTCTGTATTAATGTTTTTGCCATCGTTGATCTAAATGGCTTTTCACAAGTCAATTTGTTCTAACATCCAACCATCTTCTGGKTGGCATATGAATAACAAAGGTTTACATCACATTGAATATTGTCATATCATATAGACCTGGTTTGATTATTCTGATCATTAGAAATATAAATAAAAGAGGATGATCATAACTCTATTAGACATTTTATTGTGTCTATTACATWGTATATATCACAGACAGCATTGTATACTGTTTACAATTTTCCTTATATGTACAGTGATGTCTAGTTATGGCTGTTATTTATTTGTTACAAGTATTTATCAATGATTATTTCATTTTAGAAACCAGACCAAATCCAAAAGATTCGMGGTTGTGTGTTGACTGTCATTGAGCGTATGGATGCTGAGTATGTCAAAATGCTGCAGGGTTGTGATTGTCATTCTACTGAATATGTAGACAGGTACAGATTTGATTGTTTTATTATTTTATGTTTCATTCAAATAAAACGAAATATTTTTCACTCACTATTCACAGTGTTAGAATGTTGGTTAACTTGTTGTTGATGTATTTTTCTGTAGRCTTAAAGATGAAAAGAGTGTYTGTGAATTGATTGAACGCCTTCAAAAATACCTTGAAGGATGTGGCACCAGAGAAGAGCTGTGTAGAGTTTATCTTCTTAGAATCGAGCATATTTATTACAAGGTKAGCCATAACCTAACTTACACTAATTATAATCATCATATTGCTTCCATCATTAGTTCATYACAGTGCATTCAAGTAGACCCTAACTGATCATGTCCAATGTCTGTTTAGGGGGGAAAATGAATGCAATATTCACAAGAACATCTGCTTTTATGCTTCTGTAAGCAACATTAACGCTGGTACAGGCTAAAGCAGTGTTTGACATTCTCCTTGACATTACTGGTCATTGTTTAGTTAAYAAACTGCTGTAATGATATGCTAGATGCAATACTTCTTTTGGATTTCAATATTATATTGATGAGATAATTAATCAGGGCGAAAATTAAGATACGCACTTTGTCTAGTGAAGTTTATATTTAATCAATTAAGCACACCACCCATTGTGAGGAAGATTTCACTAATGAAACTACAATTTGTACTTGATATTGTTGGTCAGCTTTTATTTTTTACTTGTGAATAATTTATAAAAGTGTTAGATATAAAGCTATCCAGTTATATAAACTGATTTGTGTTTGCTATTATCAAGATTGATGTTGACATGATAGCCAAACCAAACACAGATAAAGATGCTACTGAAGATACAAACAAGTCAGAGGAAAAAGAAAGATCAAAAGAGACTCCAAGCTCAGCAGAAATCATGTCATATCTTTGTAAATACATCTATTCCAAGGACACGTCTGATCGCATCAGAACTCGTGCAATGTTATGTCATATCTACCACCATGCTTTACATGATAGATGGTTTGAAGCACGTGACTTAATACTCATGTCTCACCTACAGGAAACTATCCAGTTTTCTGACATTCCTACACAGGTAGCTAATTGAACAATTAGTTGTTTGCACAATGTATTTATACCAAAGCTCTTTCCATTAAAGGTTGACCTTTTGTTTGTAGATTTTGTAYAATCGTACCATGGTACAGCTTGGTTTGTGTGCATTTCGACATGGTATGATCAAAGATGCTCATAATGCATTGCATGACATCCAGTCAAGTGGTAGAGCCAAGGAACTACTTGCACAGGTATACAATCAATGTTAAATCATCTTCAATATGAAGCTGACTTTAAGAATTATCCACTCTATTACACTCACTTTATTACTTTTTTAATTTTAGTTGTCATTCTTGCGTTTGTTGTTACCATTGTTATAATTGTTTTATGAGTGTAATGTAGGTTTTTGTTTTGGTGAATTGCTGAATATGTTAAATCTTAACTCCATTTTAGGGATTAATGCAGCAACGGCAATATGAAAGAACTCCAGAGCAAGAAAAAATAGAAAAACGAAGACAGGTTTGTATGTTTTTGACTAAATAAATGCATAGATTCTTTTCCAAAATCTAACCTACTACAAAATAATGTCATACTACTAAAATCACATCCATATAATGAAAATTGATCAAGGGCGCTAGAACTGAAATTATGACCTATAAGATCCAAAAATTGCTTAATTTATCCAACATAAGATAGTAGATAATAAATTGTAAAGTTTTACTTATCTGAAATATGTGGCTAAATGTAATTTAGGCTAAGTTAAACTCGAGGCCTGTATCCTAGCATGCCTTGCAGCTGTGGGGGCGCCCCATAGCGTGCAGGGGCTTGTGATGTCTTCATGTGTTGTCGCGCGCACTAAGTCGCTCCATGTTGTTTTGATTCCCAACCCACCCTCCTCTTTGGTAAGTATACATTCAATTAGGTAAGTATCCTCCATTGACTTTGTCAATGTGACTTGTGCCAGGTGGTGGACCGTGGTTTGGTTACCATGGTTACCTCCTGGTCATGTCCGGTGGCGCGCCGGCATGACCAATTTATGGCACATATCTCCACACTCATCTGAGCCGATGAGTTTAAATACACTGAAATGTCGTCTTAGACACTAAAAAGCACTTGATTTTACGAAATTCATCCAAATGATCGTTACTCAAGCGGTTGTTGCTGAATTTATTACCGCTGTCCTTGTTGTAACAGCCACTGCTGTCTCGCCAGGAACGTTATTCATTAACTGGATTAAAATCACTTTGCCCTGGCTGAACACCAAAAGAGACAGGGGCAGGCAATAACTAGCGGCCCCTTTGACCACTCGTCTGACTCACTAATCGGATTAAGTTGACAGGACCTAGGGACACTGATGACAGATTAGTCCTGGCCGAGCGAGTCTTCGTTGGCTCGAATGTGACCTCGTCACAGGTCGGGATTTGAACTAATAACGCTCTCGTCTTGAGGATGGTCAAAACTATCGCCATTTAAATGGACAAAGTGCCTGGCCGAAATCTATGTTCAACTCCATTTGGAAGAAACCGAAATGAAAGTTAAATGTTAATCGTAAAGCACCACTCACAATCAAGTTTATGCGACTGACACTTTGAATATAATGCTGCTTAACAAAAAATGTACTGTTTCTATTTCTCAATTCAACGTTTTTAAACACGAATTCAACACACTCACATCTTAGTTTCATATGTAACAAAAATTATTGACGAGCGCTTCGCTCAACTTTTAAATGACTTTCGATTCGAAAACCGACGAGTTATAAAACATCGCGACGGTAGCGTATTTACTATTTCGGGCCTACGAAGACTCGCTCGGCCAGAGCTAATCTGTCATCAGTGTCCCTAGGTCCTGTCAACTTAATCCGATTAGTGAGTCAGACGAGTGGTCAAAGGGGCCGCTAGTTATTGCCTGCCCCTGTCTCTTTTGGTGTTCAGCCAGGGCAAAGTGATTTTAATCCGGTTAATTTATAACGTTCCTGGAGAGACAGCAGTGGCTGTTACAACAAGGACAGCGGTAATAAATTCAGCAACAACCGCTTGAGTAACGATCATTTGGATGAATTTCGTAAAATCAAGTGCTTTTTAGTGTCTAAGACGACATTTCAGTGTATATTTCAGATAAGTAAAACTTTACAATTTATTATCTACTATCTTATGTTGGATAAATTAAGCAATTTTTGGATCTTATAGGTCATAATTTCAGTTCTAGCGCCCTTGAATTGATCATAACATATCAAACTTTCTGCAGGTTCCATTTCACATGCACATCAACCTAGAACTGCTAGAATGTGTGTATTTAACTTCAGCAATGCTTATGGAGGTGCCATATATGGCAGGTATGTAGCAGAGATGGTTGTATATAGACCATTACTGTGTGCCTCTAATGATGAGACAATTTTACCCCTGATAAACTGTGGAGGACTAATAAACTACAATTCTCTGAAGAAAGGCATACCCTAGAATTATTTTGTCAGGAAAACTGACCCTGTTACAGCCATTATCTTGATTTATTTATCAATCTTTTTGCTTTGTGCACAGCTCATGCACATGACCTGAGACGGCGGATCATCAGCAAAAGTTTTCATTATCAGTTGAGATTGAGTGACAAGCAGACTTTAGTTGGTGAGTGACTTGTACTGTAGTAGAATRAACAGATGAAACAAATAGTAGTTATATAATGTACTATTTTTAGGGCCTCCTGAGAGTATGAGAGAACATGTTGTTGCTGCATCTAAAGCAATGATGACAGGAAATTGGAAGAAATGTAAAAACTACATCATGGCAGTCAAGGTAGGAATTATTATTTGAGGGGGTTTAAATTAGCATAATCTGATGTCACAGAAACTTGAATGAAAATAATTGACAAGACTGACATTACTGATTCAATACCTTACAGGACAGGACATTTTGAGTAGTTTACAACTAACATGTCATGTTATCATAATACACTTTCTTTCATGTTGTACTGTATGTATTTATATTCAACTAGGTTTGGAAGTTGTTCAGTAGACCTGAGGAAGTTAAAGAAATGCTCTTGAGGTATGAAGAAATTTATTAAATGATMTATTTGGATTGTATTCTCTCTTTTCACCATTCAACACCACATGGATATTGCTAGAGTTCTGAGTGGTTCATTTTCATTCAGTAATTGTGGTCCTTGTGGTAGATGAAATCATTCAGTCTAACTTGACTTGTACTAAGTCTTGATGACTGTCCGATGTAATCCTGTGAGAGTTGAGTACATTTAACTGTAATGTACCCTTAGTTGAGGATTGTATATTTGTATAATCACAGTCATAAAGCTTGTTACTATGGCAGACAATATCATCCATTACAGTATGTCAGAACAATCAATACACACATGGTTGTTACCATTTCTATTACAGGAAAATCCAGGAAGAGAGCTTGCGCACCTATTTGTTTACATACAATAGTATGTATGATTCACTCAGGTAAAYACCATTTGTAAACATCTTCCTTCTGGCTATTTGTTGGTCTGTACCAGTATCATTAGCTTACTGTACCTTAAATTAAATTATCAAAGACATGATTCTCTTACACTGTAATGTAWTACATGCTTTGTTTTTCTTTCAGTCTACACACATTAGCAGAGATGTTTGAGCTGCCCCCTGGTGTTGTACACAGCATTATTAGTAAAATGATTATTAATGAAGAACTYCAGGTGATACTATACTACTGATATTCCAAGACACTAAGCTAGGATTAATTTTGATGAGTTTCCAGTGACAACATTTRACAATTAAGCCTTAAAAGGTTGAGTGGACTACAAAGCTGATGAGGCCATACTTGACCAAATGAACTATCCACAGTATTTCATGAGCCTATGTGGTCTATTTGTTTTAGGGCTAATTAAGAAAGAAAAAAGACCATAAAGAAGAATCTTTTTTTTACTTTTTTTGCTGCATTCTTTACGATTGTGGTCTATCAAAAATATACCATAGTTAAGTAGCTAATCRAAAGGCTGGACTTGGATAGTTTGGTGAATACTAAATGGTGTTATATCTGTAGGCTTCATGGGATGAACCCACCCAAACAGTAGTGATGCATCATGGTGCTGAACCAACATTGGTCCAGAATCTTGCTCTTCAACTTGCTGAAAAGGTATGTACAGCATTTGATACCATMACAATCCCTGTGTCATTTTGTATTTTTTCTTTGAACTTGRGTTCTTGGGCATACTTCCATTACTGGGAGATTCTTGAAGTATCACTCTGTAAACTCCTTGAGCTCCTGTTTTACATGGAAATGTTATCGCAATTTTTGCAATACATGTGAAAATTTTGAACTAGAARTTGTGAGCTTCGCATGATGAGAAGTCATTTCTCCTGATAAACTGTGGAGGACTAATAAACTACAATTCTCTGAAGAAAGCTCACCAGTACCTGCCTGCACTGAAAACCYCCATGGGGTCATTCTTTGTGATACTAATTKTTTAATCTTGTTGTGTAGATTGGTAATTTGGTTGAAAATAATGAACGTATCTATGATTCTAAACATGGTGGAGGATTCTACCAGTACAAAGAACGTCAAGGTACAGTGCAACACTTTGGATATTGGTATTGTTGATATATTATTGACAGACTCATGTTTCTTCTTAGGGGATCGGAGATTTCGACAGCGTGGTCAGCAGCAAAATTATTAAACTGTTGGTACATTTGCAAGAACAGACATGTGTTTCCCTTCAGTCTCTGTCTTCATTACTATGGAYAAATGTTCACTATATACTCATACAATTCTTTTACCATACAAATGCAGATATGATTAATGAAAAAATGATTTTTTTTATGGTGATAGCTGTGTTTCCACTTTGAGTTAATATTTACCATAACTAATGTAGACAAGACATGGATAATAAAATTCTAATATAAGAATAGGGCATCATGAGCAGTGCTGTGTACTTTGCTGTTGTCGCCTTATGAATAAAATATTTAACCCTGTGTTTTGCAGAATTCTTTAATTCTTGTCRATTTCTCTTCTTAGAGCAAGGGGGTCGTCCCTCAATATTTGGGAAAGTTTGTAGAAATGTATAAGAAAAATTCAAATTGTATTACAAATTCACTATCTTTGTAAGCATTTTGCTATGATTTCGACCCCYTCCCCTACCAAACACATGTCCTTTTCCTTGGTTCTCTCAACACCAGTGTAATGTGGGCAGAAAACAATATCAATCTAGTGATCTAGTTGTACTTGATCGGCTTCGGTTTGGACATTTTAAATTTCTCGAGAGGCTATTTAGAAATAGATATCTGATCCCGGGATGATAGCTATCATTGCCAAAGGTGTTTTTCTTTTTACRATGGAAGAAAATAAATTGTGTCCTTTCTGACTGATGTCCTTTCTGACTGACGGGTATGTATGAGAAAATAYAAGGACTCGTCTCCCCATGGTTTGTATTTCTTTACAAGCGTGCTTTTTTATTTTTTGTTTTTAYGTAGTAGAGATGGCCGAGCCTGTGAAGTACTTGTCAGCGGTTAACATCATGGCTGGTGGCGATGTTTTTGTTGTTCTTCTTCGTCGAGACCTGTAAAGGAGGATTTCATAGCTATTTTGTGGTTGTATATCACTGCTGCACTTTCTAATTATCAATCTTAGCTCTTAAATGTTCTTAAAACATTTTATTTACGAAGTCAAGTGATGATAACCAAGTGTCAGCAAGACGACAATAGCTGAAAGAGCCGGCCATTTTCATCAGGAGAAATCCCTAACAAACATTTGTATTTTCAAGCTAACTCCCTTCGGCATACTTTCAGAGTCTGTTACAAGATTCTCGATGAATTAGATGAAAACATATCTTGTGTAGTTTAAAGCGGAAAAATTGTCATGGAGTTTTATGAACCTAGTGGTGTCCGCTTGAATGCCATTAGACGACTTGATCCAGACAATGTGGAAGATGAAGTAGAAACAGGTCCAGAAATCGATAGATATGGCTTTGTTGGAGATCATAAACAAGCTTCGTAAGTATTTTCTAGGGCAATAGATAAGATAACATCACACGGATGGAGTATCTTCTTAAGACCTCTTGAGGAAGGAGTGAGGGGATTAACATGTCAAACAGAGTTATGCAGCCAGTCTGCAAATGTTCACATGATTTCGAATTGAATCTTTTGCATTTAAGTTAGTAAGCTAATGTATTTATTACATACTAAAAAACAGTTAAACTCTACAATACTAGATAAAGAATAGCACAAAATCCTGCCTATAAATATTATAGAATATTCTATCATGCAGTTAACCAGCCAACCCCAGGATTGAAGAGGGACTGTAAGGGCACCATTTGCTTGTGAGCACTATAAAACTAGAAATAATCATGTTCAGTATGCATTCTTCATAATCTCATGGACTATGATAAATGTGAGCTGACCAGCACTGATGTATATAATAATTTTATATATTATACAGGAAGTTATTTATGTTGTTATCATAAATTATACGTTATTGAAATTTAAACAAAAGCTATTAATTAGTCTTCAAGCATTTGACTGGCTCAGATTTTATGAAATGTTTAAATCTAAGTCTGTACTTGCTTTTAGATTTTAAATGGGTCCAGTGTTTGCTGTATYGTAATATTGGGTGCTGAAGGGATAAGGAAGCTTTGATCAATATGCTTAATTATGCAAATGATTTTTTAAGCAATCATGTTTCAACAAACTAGCTATAGGACCTGAGCGTACAATAGAGCACTTTTAGTCAAACTGTGAAATAGTTAGTTAACTAATGAACTATTTAGGTGACATCACATAAATTAGTAAAAGCGCATCAAAGCAACTGTCAAGAAAATCAGGGGGGGAGGGGGGAGTTGTGGCATGAAAAAATTTCTATAAAAAGTTTTTAGGGTTTTTAGATGGTGGAGATTGAAGAGTTTATGTTTTCCACAGTTCTAGAGGGMGCTTAATTTCTGAATTTTATTGTTATACAAACTTAAACAAATTAACATAATATGGCTATGTAGACTAGTAGAGAAGAAGAATTAAAATGAAGATGAGCCACCACACACCACCTATGTTTATCGAACTCCTTCGACACAAAGAATATGAACAACATTGCTAAAACACCAGCTTGCTTGACATTTTCTAAGAGCTTCAGAAAGAACAGATCCAGATTATTTGGCCATTAATAACTGTTAAACTCAAGCTTGGAGAACAATAACAGTGCATTTCACAAAAGTTTTCACAAAAGTTTTCTTTTATTCAGGGAGACAACACTACCTGTTGAAGTACTTAGAGAAAGAGAACTGAAATGGATTGAAATGTTAAAAGATTGGGATAAATGGGTTTTGAAGAAATTCAAAAAGGTATAACAATTCATTTAGATCATGCCATGYTTATTTTCATTGSTCTCCTTTTTCCAATAAGCAAGGAATGCACAGCACAATGTAAACATAAGKTAAAYTTATTTTATGCTATGCATTTAYRTTGATTGCAGGTAAAAGAGCGATGTCGTAAGGGTATACCTCCATCTGTGAGAGGAAAAGCTTGGCAATGTTTAACTGGAAGTAATCTCAAAGCTCAAGAAAATCCAGGACTGTTTGATGTTAGTTTGTKAATTGTCATAACTTTTCTTAATATTATATTGGTATCTTGCTATTTAAGTTGCACAAGYATCATACATTKGTTTGTCATTACAGAGACTTGATGCCAAAAGCTCACCAGAGTGGGAGAGTGATATTAGAAAGGATTTGTGTAGAACATTCCCTTACCATGGACTATTCTCTGATAAAGATGGACAAGGGTATGTTGAGCTACTTTGTATTTGTTAATGTTACAAGGCTTATCTTTTATTAGTCTGTCAGCAWATTAACAGACAAAGCAGCACTCTGAAGCCCCTGTCACTAGCAGATAGATAATAATAAACAGTACTTACCGATTTGATGTTGACTTTTGAAGTTTCTCAGTGCTTGCATCATACAACTCTAAGGACATAGTTGAGACATACTACTAAATAAATGCAGGAATAGTCTGGATAAGATACATGCTATAAAAAACATGGTGGTTGATAACATATTTTTTTATATTTTCTTATTTATCAATTTAGGCAATCCGACTTGTTTAGGATATTAAAAGCATATTCATTGTATGATCAACAGACTGGATACTGCCAGGTCAGTTACTAGACATATTAGTAGTCACATAATGAATATTTTTATCAAATACATTTGTGCATGCATGTACAAAGATCGTAAATGAATTGTTTAGAAATATTAACTGTCTAAGTTACATTAATTTGTATTTCTAGGCAATGGCACCTGTAGCTGCTGTCCTCCTCATGCACATGACAGCAGAGGTGGGTGAAACTTTTCTTGTAAGAGATTTTTGTAAAAATACTGGATATTTTATTTACTTGAGGTGATAAAATACACCAATCCACCGTCCATCCACATTATCATGAGATTGTCATGCGGCATTATCATCTTATATACACTCCAAATAATACAAGGAGTACAAGATGGGAACTTGGTCTCCTAGCAATTGCTCTCATTTGATAATGTTTTTTGCTGCGCTTGGAAGGGTTGATGGGAGGGAAAGGTAGAAAGTTATATTAATCTGTTGTGTTCTTAAGGAGGCCTTTTGGACTTTGGTCATGATATGTGAGAAGTATATTCATGGATATTATGAACCAAAACTGGTAAGGTTTTATACATTATGATTCAAAAAAGTACATGTAAT